TACCAGAAGTCCGAGAAGGTCCCATGACACGTTCAAGGTCTAAACAACTTAAGAAAAGGTTCAACTTAGCTGTGCAAGACATTCTAAGCTCCTTAGAGCTAGAGGAAGTAAACTGGTCCGTAGCACCCCAAACCGGATATGATCCAATAGCCGAAGAAGAGCTTGCTGAAGCTTTCACCCAAATGAGTCTTGAACGAACTACTCCCCAAGGTATGAAATCTTCTGTGACAGGTCCAGAAGCCCCTAGAAGCCAAGAGAAGACTTTGGAGCTGCAGGAGACGTACAAGACAAGCTTCACTTCCGAGAGTGATCAAGAGAGTCAAGATCAAGACCAAGACACCAAGGACGTGGAAGAGCTCCAAGAAACTGATCAAGATACTCAAGAGGAACTCCAGGAAAGTCCCTACTTCAAGAAACCAACAAGTAAACGAGCACAAGATATGACGCCTGAAGTAGGTCAGAGAGTACTACAGGAAGTGACTCAGAGAACGTCTATTGGGCCTAAAACGCATCCCGGTAAGTTTTATTCAATTTATACTATCTTTGCAGGTCCAATAAGCCCACACAACGGCTAGACTCGTCATCAAAGCGTGCTCCTCAAGAGAGTTTAAGTAGTTTCCTTATTTAGTTATTTTCTTTCTAAAAACAATGGTTTTTGTGTTTTGCTTTTATTTGCTTCCTTTTTTGTGTTTTTGCATTTAATTTCGGCCCTAGGGCTAGCTGAAGGACTCTTATATAGTCCCCCTGCAGCAGTTGTACGATTTTTTTCACCCTTGATTATCAATAAAGAACCCGAATTTTCTTACTTCTTCTCTTTAAGTGTTCTTAAGAGAATAAGCTTGTTCTTTGTCTTGTGTGTGTGATTCACCAAGGCTGAGTTCGTGTACTGTATCAGAGACCAATCACATCTCTGTGGTGTACTTCAATCCGCCATCACTTTCATCTATTTCGATCCCACACGAGAGAAGCGACCGCCATCGTGTTAGATCTACATCATCGACCATCAATCCTTCACAAGAGAGAAGCGACCGCCAGCTTGTGAAGCCACCATCTCTATCCCGATACTAGTCTCACCACTGAGTCTTGTATCAGCCCATCATTAAATACAGTTAAAAAAAATTATATAAAAAGTACACTGAGTAGGTTTGAACTCGCCAGATCTAAGGAGAGTGTGAAGGTGATAACCACTCTACCACAATAAATATGTTTAAAATGATGCCCTTAAATTCTTTTATAGACATCTGATGCCTAAAACCCATGCTTTACGGGCTTTAGCCTTGGGCCGGCCCTGTCTCGTGTCTCCTTAATAATTATTTTTCACTTTTTGTGGTTCATTAATCCTAACAAAAAGAAAAGACCATTTGTTTGCTTTTTTTTGCCTTCAAGCAACGTCCCTCTCTCTCTTTATCTAAAACGTGCACCGTCCTAAATAGGGCAAGACCCATGCCTCTCGTGAATTTTAGACTTTTAGTCATGTGCAGTGCATAGTTTACGCGACTATATGTGACAGAGAATAACAAGATAAACACCGTTGCGTCTTATTTCTTGACTCTTGGTGACTTTTTTTTTTTGGTTAAATTATATTCAAAATAAAAAATATTCGTTTGTACAACTAGTGCAACGTTTCGCTGAAAATAAATCAACGGAATGATTTAAAACTGAATTGCTAAAACAGTTTACTTAAGTCCGGAATTTGATCCAAGTTTGGTAGGCTTTGTCGTATCTCCTGACTCTTGGTGACTTTAAATTAACTGTAATGTCGACTCGACTCTTTAGTTTTTTTTAGAGGAAGGGATTATTTATGTCTCTAGAAATTCTAACGCCACCGGCTTGTAGCGTTTCACTACCTTGATATTTGTTTTCACGACTGTAGGCACGGCGACTATGCACCAAACATGGCATTCATCAACCAAAAATATATATTGTTAGATGTGATGAAGCTAGAATAAACATAGGCTCCAAAGGAGGATAAAAATAATTCATAAAAAAAATATAATTCATTTAAATCAAAAATCATAAATAACATTTGAATTCCTAACTTTTATCTACATTTTAAACAGTAAATATCAAATATCTTTTGTAAAATATTGGTTTGATAATGTTTTATTATGAATAATTTTTAGCTATAAAATTTTGCTGTCATGATGTGATAATGTTTGGGTCCACGAAAAGAACATCCAAAGGAGTAGTTTCCAGCATTGGCATTAACGGGTAGTCTCGAGGATCAGTCCATTAGAAGAATGAAGAATCAGTGTCGGTCCAAACTTTGGGTTGCCTAAAGTATTATAAAAAAACTTGTAGCTATCCATCAATATTTAAACAATCAACAAAAGTTTCCAAAGTAATATGTCATAAACCGCTATACTGTAAAAAGCTTTCATAGTTTTAATGTCTAAACCCTTTGCAGGTTCTTGTCTGAGAAAAATCATGCAGCTACGCAAGCGCGTTTCAGAATTCTCACTCATATGTTCTAATGGTGTGTTATAGAAGGCTAACACGTGAAACCTACTCTATAAGAGCGGGAAAAGGGGATTTTCATACCCGTACTATCTACACCGTGGATTTTCATAACACATATCAAAACGACGTCGTTTGATAACACATATCAAAACGACGTCGTTTCGATACGCACCGTAACGGAGTTGACTAACACCCGTTAGATTGACTCCGATTTTTGTACGTTGTATCAAGTATAAGGTATGAGTTTCAAATTTTATTGAAGTTTAGTTTGTAAAATACCCTACAAAATTATCCAGGTATGAAAATCCACGGCGCAGACAGTACGGGTATGAAAACGACGTTGTTTTGATACACGTCAGCGTACACGTGTACGATGACTCAGCACCGTAACGGAGTTGACTAACACCCGTTAGATTGACTCTGATTTTTGCACGTTGTATCAAGTATAGGTATAAGATTCAAATTTTATTGAAGTTTATGTTGTAAAATACCCTACAAAATTGTCCAGGTATGAAAATCCACGGTGCAGATAGTACGGGTATGAAAATCCCCTTTTCCCCTATAAGAGCAGTCATTTATTTTTTATTTTTTTTATGGGTGTCTTTAAACATAAAACTAATTAAAAACAAAAGAAAAAAAAATGAAAAGTGTAAGTAATTTGACGACAAAAAAAAAAGTGTAAGTAATTTTAGATTTGTGTTTTCCTAGAGACATTTTAAATCCCCAAAAAGAAAATGTCTTTAATTTTAACATTAATTAATATGTAAGACACCCACAAAAAGTACTATTAGGGATGAGGATGGTATAACTGTTTCTTACATGAAGTCGACATATGAGCAACTCATACACCGACATATTTTAGGTACAGTAAAACCTCTATAAATTAATAATGTTGGGACCATGAAATTTTATTAATTTAGAGAGGTATTAATTTATCGATAAATTAATAATTATTAATTAATAGAGAGATTTTACTAATTTGGTAATTTCTTAAAAAATTTATATCTAAAAATAAATTTTTTCTTTATAAGCAATATCTTTTTAAAACCAATTACAAGTAGAGAAGCAATTATTAAGTTTAAAAACAACACAAACTTTATCGAATAATAAAGTCATATTTCATTTAATATTTTAAATATATATCATAGTAATTCATATATGACATATATAAATTTATATCATATATATATAAAGTTAAATATGCATATATATATATATTAAGTTAGATATACATATATATATATATATATATTGATAAGTTTATACAATTATTAATTTATGATATAGATGGGACCATATGTTTATATGGGATTTTCAAAAAAATTATTATCTTATTAATTTATCGATTTATGTCATATTTTACACTGGTCCCAACTCGGGACCGGAAGAATTTATTAATTTAGAGAGGTTATTAATTTATAGAGTATTAATTTATAGAGGTTTTACTGTATTTGTTATCCGAATATATATGAACTTGAGTAAAGTCGTATCTAAAGTATAGAACTTTTTACATTCGGGATTCCACCATTTTTTCTACGTAATCAGAATTTATTCGAATTACATTCTAGCGAGAGAAAAAATATTCTTAAACATATATATTACATACAAATATGTACCCGCATAAATCTAAGGCTCTTACTATATTTTATAACCTCTTGTAACACAATCTAAAAATAAATGAATCATGTAAATATTATTTGGGCAATTGATAAAAATAGCACCAAATTTTTTTTCTTCCAAAATTAGCACAATATTTCTAAAATTCCACAAATAGCAAACTAAACTTTAACTAAATAGAAAATGAGAGAAAACACTAATCTAATATTAATTTAAATCAAAATTTCTTTTAAATAGTAAAAATATACCCTAAATTAGAAATAGAGAATCCAAATATAATATCACAAATTAATATTAAAATGAATCAAAATCTCTTTTAAATGGTGGAAATATGTACCCTACATTAAAAATAAGGAACCCAAACATAATAACACAAATTCAATATTAAAATGAATCAATATCTCTTTTAAATGGTGGATAAAAATACCCTAAATTAGAAATAGAGAACTCAAATATAAAATTTAAAATTTATTTTGGTTGAATATTTTTTATATAAAAATTATTGTATTATTGAAAAAAATAAACTAGTGATAATACTATTGAAACAAAAACTTAATAGTGAGTCAACTAATGCTATTTTTGGAAGTTTATTCAATGTGTGATATAATTGTCCACAAAACTTGTTTTAGTGCTATTTTTTGTTTTTATTATTTAGTTATTTGTTAATCTAAATTTTATTTATATGTTAAACCATACTTCAAGTTACAAACTAGAAGAGGGTGAATACAATGATTGGTCGGTCAATCTTTTGCTCTCTTCTCTCTCCTCTCTTTTCTGAAAACAAACCAGCCGCCGCTCATATACGGCCAACGTCAGGTGGCTCCTTTAGCACTGGCGTTGTGCCGCTTTAGTGTTATTTTTTTGTTTTTTCTTCTTTCTCTAGCCTATTACTCGTTCCGGTGAGTTTCTTTTTTGCGATGGGTTTTTACTTGTTCGTGAGGAGGAGGGTGAAGTTTCTGTCCATGGAGCAGCTTCTTTGTTCGAGTTTTGCGGCGGCCCTCTCCCAGGTGGGATGTGGAGGTATTTCTGGTTTGGTTTGGCTGCTCAGGTGCTTCTTTTGCAAGGCTTGGTGGCGTTTCCGGTCAGTTCGTGGTGAGAGATGGGTCTGAGTTGTTCTGTCGGATCTGGTTAGGCCGTGTTTTCTTGTTTATTGGTGGCTCTCGATCGTTTAGGCGGTTGGTTTGCTCTTCTTGCACCTTTGTCTCCCAACCTCCGGTGTCAATTTTTCAGATCTGGTTCTTCATTTCTCGGGTATGTTGCTCTGGTTTGCGGGTTCTTCTTTGGATTGTTTTGGAATTTTTGGATCTTCTTTTTGTGGGATCTTTGTCTGTCCTATGGTTGAGTCTTGTTTGAGTGAAGTTTATGTTTGGCATAGAATGTCCTGGAAAATCTCTCCTTGTGAAGAGACGGACTCGTTGCTATTTGCCATTGGCTCTAGGCTCATTTTCTTTGGTTGATTCTTCTGTTTCATTAAGATCTGCTTCGTTTTGGAGTTTGTGGGTCACTTTTTTGCCATCATAAGCAGTATCTCTATCAGTTTGAGGTTATCGACTTCTCGGGGTTGGTTTGGAACGTTTAATACTATCCAAAGCTCTATCAATTCTTTCAACAGAGAGAAGAGCTATACAATGGGTTTTGATTCGGTTCCTCTCCACAAGTCAAATAAGGCAATTGTGCGTTGGTCCCTTAGCTCCTTGTTCAGACTTTTTTCTTTTAGATTCTCGTGGTTCCTAGTCTTTTCACTCATTGGAGGACTCTAGGTTTGTTTTCTAAGTTTTAGCTTATCGTTGTATCCTTGGTTGTTTGTTAGTTTCTCTCTTTTGGGCTCTTGTCTTCAGGGATATTTCCATTTTCCGCCGACTTATCTTACCGGGGATATTAACTATTTCCGTCGGTCGTTGTATCCTTCGAAGTTTTATCAATATTATTCAGACGAAAAAAATGAAAATAAAGAAGAGAGTGAATAAAAAAAAAGTCATACCACTCTAAAAATAAAATGTTTAAATAGAAGTTACTATTTTATAAATGTAAATTTTTAATTTTTAATGTATATAATTTGTAAATATTAAATTTGTGATAAGAGTTAAATAAAATTTTGAAATCTAAAGAATAAAAGTAAATCAAATCAAAACCAAAATAAAAGTAGATTAGGCATTGACAAAATCTAACGGCCACAATGCAACAATGATTGTTACCGGCGCTTGCGACTTCTCTTCATCACTCTCCGTCGCCTCTTCCTCATCCTCCGCCGTCTCCGTCACAACCTTCAACATTTCCTCTCTTTCCTCTAACCCCAACATCATCATCAATTCCAGCTCAACTCTCTTCCGTTCCCTTTCCTTCTCCCTTATCCACCATCGCAGCAGCTACTCACGTCGCTCTCTCCGCCATCTCTCTATCCACACAGTTCATGGAAACAAAACCCAATTCTTCTCTCACTCTTCTCCGCGAACTCCACCACTTTTCACGGCTAATTCCACTGCTCAACGAAGCGGGACTTTCGTCGAACACCTTACAGGCATTACAGAATCGGAAGAAGGAAGCAGCGAAGCCAACGATTTCGGTGATGTAGAGTCTGCTAGGAACGATATAAGGAATGTTGCGACTCGTAGAGTGGAGACGGAGTTTGAAGTTAGAGAATTGGAAGAGTTGCCGGAGGAATGGCGACGGTCGAAGCTAGCTTGGCTATGTAAAGAAGTTCCGACGCATAAAGCCGTGACGCTTGTGAGGCTATTGAATGCTCAGAAGAAATGGGTTCGTCAAGAAGATGCTACTTACATCGCTGTTCATTGTATGCGGATTCGTGAGAACGAAACTGGATTCAGGGTAAAACCTTTTCGAACAATTTATCAATCTTTAGAAGAGTATCAATGGATTTTGGTTGATTTGTGTTGAAAGTTTTCATCTTTTAGGTGTATAGATGGATGACACAGCAGAATTGGTACCGGTTTGATTTCGGGTTAGCAACGAAGCTAGCTGATTACTTGGGGAAAGAACGGAAATTTACAAAATGCCGGGAGGTATTTGATGATATTTTGAATCAAGGGCGTGTTCCTAGTGAATCTACATTTCATATTCTTGTAGTTGCATATCTAAGTAGCTTATCAGTCGAAGGCTGTCTCGAAGAAGCGTGTAGCGTTTACAATAGAATGATTCAACTTGGAGGTTACAAACCGCGTCTTAGTCTGCATAATTCTTTATTTAGAGCTCTGGTTAGCAAACAAGGAGGGATTTTGAATGACCAGCTTAAGCAAGCCGAGTTTATCTTTCACAATGTTGTGACAATGGGGCTTGAGGTTCAGAAGGATATCTATAGTGGACTAATCTGGCTGCATAGTTGTCAAGAAGAAGTTGACAAAGACAGGATTAACTCTCTAAGAGAAGAGATGAAGAAGGCGGGTTTTCAGGAGAGTAAAGAAGTTGTGGTATCGTTACTTAGAGCTTATGCAAAGGAGGGAGGTGTGGAAGAAGTTGAGAGGACGTGGCTTGAATTGCTTGATTTAGATTGTGGTATACCTTCTCAGGCGTTTGTGTACAAAATAGAAGCTTATTCGAAAGTCGGCGAATTTGCGAAAGCTTTGGAGATATTTAGGGAGATGGAGAAGCATTTAGGTGGTGCAACTGTGTCTGGATACCACAAAATCATTGAGGTTCTATGTAAAGTCCAGCAAGTGGAATTTGCGGAATCTCTCTTGAAGGAGTTTGAAGAAAGTGGGAAGAAGCCGCTTCTACCATCATACATCGAAATAGCCAAAACGTACTTCGATTTGGGTTTACATGAGAAATTGGAGATGGCTTTTGTTGAGTGCTTGGAGAAATGCCAACCTAGCCAGACTATATATAACGTATATCTCGATTCATTGGTTAAAATTGGCAACCTTGAGAAAGCAGGGGATGTCTTCAATGAAATGAAAAACAACGGGACGATCAATGTGAATGCTAGATCTTGCAACAGCCTTTTAAAGGGATACCTAGATTCTGGAAAACAAGTGCAGGCAGAGAGAATATATGATCTGATGAGAATGAAGAAATACGAAATCAAACCAACGCTTATGGAAAAGCTTGATTACATCCTGAGCTTGAAGAAAAAAGAGGTGAAGAAGAGACCGATAAGCATGAAGCTAAGCAAAGACCAGCGTGAGGTATTGGTAGGTTTGCTGTTAGGTGGCTTGCAAATCGAATCAGACAAAGAGAAGAAGAGCCACATGATCAAATTTGAATTCAGAGAGAATTCTCAGGCTCATCTGATTCTTAAACAACACATACATGACCAGTTCCGCGAGTGGTTGCATCCTTTAAGCGATTTCCAAGAGGATATTGTACCGTTCGAATTCTACTCCGTTCCCCATTCATACTTCGGGTTTTACGCTGATCATTTCTGGCCAACGGGTCAACCAGAGATCCCTAAACTAATTCATCGGTGGCTCTCACCAAACTCACTCGCGCATTGGTACATGTACAGCGGCTTTAAAACATCATCAGGAGACATTATCTTGAGATTGAAAGGAAGTCTAGAAGGTGTTGAGAAAGTAGTAAAGGCTCTTAGAGCCAAATCTATGGAATGCCGAGTTAAGAAGAAAGGAAAAGTCTTTTGGATCGGACTTCAGGGAACAAACTCAGCTTTGTTCTGGAACCTAATAGAGCCTTACGTGTTAGAGGACTTGAAAGATCATTTGAAACCTCCTTCTGAATCAATGGGCAATGAATCGACACAAAATCAAAAACTAGATTCAACCAAACCAGTTGAAGAAATTCATCACATTATTCATTAAGTTTTTCTCTACAATTGTAACATATTATCTGGTTGGATGTTTTTAGAGTGCATTTGTTCTACAAGTCTAATAAAACATTAAATAGATAATTTGTAAGTTGGAACCACTTTCCAAATTTAATTAAAAAAAATTTCCTCCAAGAATATGTAGTTGCTTGAGTCCTTTGAAATATATTTATGTATTTAAGAAAATACCTGACACTACAATATTTTTGAAAAAAATAAATAAATTTTTTTATAAGAAAAAGATAATAAAACAAAATATTTAATGACAATGTGTAGTGGCCATAGTGGGTAATCACCTACTATCCACTCTTAGTATATGGAATGTACCCGAAGGGACGAGTAATAAATTTATTTATTTATTTAATTTTTTTTGGCAGCGAGTAATAAATTAATTAATTTTTTTTAAAAATGTTAAAAAATAAAAATAAAAAGAGACAAAATTTGTTGGAGGAAGAAAGTGGGTCCTAGGGTTTTCTTTTCTCTGTCGTTTTGATTTCTGCGTTTAAGAGAGACAAGTCTCCGTCTACAGTCTTTTAGAGACGGAAGCTACTGAGAGACACAGAGAGATACACAACGTTCTTTGTCTCTTCCTCCGATTCTTTCTCTCTGTCTCGTCTCTGTTTCGGTTTCAAGAAAGCAAGAGGAAGAAGAAGAAGATGGGTAGGTCAAAGTGTTTCATGGACATTAGCATTGGTGGTGAGCTTGAAGGAAGGATTGTTATTGAGCTTTATGATGATGTTGTTCCCAAAACCGCTGAGAATTTTCGATTACTCTGTACTGGAGAAAAGGGTATAGGTCCAAATACTGGTGTCCCTCTCCATTACAAGGTTCTCTCTTTCTCTCTATACGTTTGTTTAGACTCTCTTATGTATGAAATGTTGAAATGGGTATTTGGTGTTTCTGTGATTTGGGGTTTGAGGTTTAATGGGTCATTCGTCATTAGGTTTATAAAGATCAAAACTTTATAAAAATTGCAATTAGTTTACTGTGGTTGGTAGTTGGAAAGTTCTAAACTTTTGAGGTTGCAATTGTACTATTGAATGGTTCTGAATGCTTATGATTTGAGGTTTAATGGGTCTTTATTGCTGAATAGCTTCTGAGTTTGGTTAGGTTACTGTAGTTGGTAATGGTGAGGTAAAGATATAAACTTTAGGTATGAAATTTGTACTATAGGATGATTTATTTATGGTATTTGTGTTTTCAGGGGAATCGATTTCATCGTGTTATCAAGGGGTTTATGATTCAAGGTGGGGACATATCAGCTAATGATGGTACTGGTGGTGAATCTATCTATGGCTTGAAGTTTGACGATGAGAACTTTGAGCTGAAACATGAGAGGAAAGGGATGCTCTCTATGGCTAACTCTGGTCCCAACACTAATGGCTCTCAGTTTTTTATCACAACTACCCGCACTGCTCATTTAGATGGGAAACATGTTGTGTTTGGAAGGGTTACAAAAGGAATGGGTGTTGTTCGGTCAATTGAGCATGTTACGATAGAGGAACAGTCTTGTCCTTCTCAGGATGTTGTGATCCATGACTGTGGAGAAATCCCCGAGGGCGCAGATGATGGAATATGTGACTTTTTCAAGGACGGTGATGTGTACCCTGACTGGCCTATTGATCTAAATGAAAGCCCAGCTGAGTTATCTTGGTGGATGGAGACTGTTGATTTTGTCAAGGCTCATGGGAATGAGCACTTTAAGGTGCTTTTTCTATTGCTTTGAATTGAATATATTTGTTCGTCTGTTCCATATTTTCATTTCTTTGAATCTGATCTGTTTTTTTTTACTTTGATTTACTCTCAGAAACAAGACTATAAGATGGCTCTTAGAAAGTACCGTAAGGCTTTACGCTATCTGGATATTTGCTGGGAGAAAGAGGGCATTGATGAAGGTGGTTAATCAGTTTTTCTCTCTATATATGTTTCCATTTACTGCATCTCTGTACTATGCATACCAATCTCTTCCACTCACTCTCTACTTGGGATAATGCAGAGACGAGTACTGCCTTGCGTAAGACAAAGTCGCAGATCTTCACTAATAGTGCTGTAAGTTAATGCCTTTACACTTTCTTAAGCTACATCCTTGTTAATATCTTCTATTGTAAGTGGAACATGTATAACTTATATGTGTGTCTGTGTGCTATAAGTACCATCTGAAGCTTGATTTTCTTTGGAGTCAGTTGGTTTATCCAAAACAACCTAATTTTCTTACTCTTATCGGGTTTTTGACATAGATATTTTTTTTGTTGAATCTGCTTAATTCTTACGGATGAGCTGCTCTGTCGATAATATGATAGGCAATTGTAAAATCTGTTGTGAACTAAATATTGAAGTGGGATACACTGCAGACCTGTCATTTATGTTGGTTTCTGCTGTTTGATTATTTTCTTGGGAAAGAAGTAGGGTAGGTTGACCTTGACATTAACAGAATTCCAAGATAATATTCTCTGAGATTATGCTTGTGGGACATATTAATCATTGCTCATGAATTATTGTTTGCATCTCTGTTTACGTTGCCAGTGTTTTCACTAGTCCAACTCAATTGCTTTTTTTTTCCCTGTATAGCTGATTTTTTTTTACTAGTGTCATCTCATTGTATTGTAACTGGCTGTTGTGGCAGGCCTGCAAACTCAAATTCGGAGATGCAAAAGGAGCGTTGTTGGACACTGAATTTGCTATGCGTGATGAAGATAACAATGTTAAAGCATTGTTTCGACAAGGCCAGGTACTTAAAAACTTACTGTTTGACAGTTTTCTAGTGAGATGAAGATTGGTGTCTATTTCTTATATGCGTTTGTTGGTAATGTTAGGCATACATGGCTCTTAATAACGTCGATGCTGCTGCTGAAAGCCTTGAGAAAGCTCTTCAATTCGAACCTAATGACGGTGAGTGATTCATCAAGCATCTATTAGTTGTGGTTTGACTTGTTTGGTTCATCATTATTAATGTTTGAATATAGTACTACACGCCTAACTATATTACGAGAGAAATCTAACTAGTATTTTTACGTGCTTGATTCTGTGAGTTGATTTTCAGCTGGTATCAAGAAAGAATATGCTGCTGTTATGAAAAAGGTCGGTATGCGGTTAAAGAACCCAAGGATTTTTTTTGCAGTGACTTTACTTCTAGCGTAAAAGTCTTTGAGCTGACGTTGATAATCATATGTGCAGATTGCCTTTAGAGACAACGAAGAGAAAAAGCAGTACCGCAAAATGTTCGTATAGGGTGCTCTACTTCATTTAGGGTAAGCCTATATCTGTCGAATTAGATTTGTTGATAATCTCAGAAAACTGCACTTAGTAAAGCTTTATGTCAGCTAATAATCTTTAGGTGTTTTTGCTGATGTCTATGTAGGTTTGGTCGGATAGTGAGGAAGAAGACTAACAAAAAGTGAAAAGAAGCATATAAAGAAAGAAATATTCAAAAAGGACTTGGGAACTGTTTCTATTTCCCTCATTTTGGTAAACATTTTTTACTTTTGCATCATGGCAAAGACTGATGCATAGTAATATCGACTGGGAAATTGTTTTTACCCAAAAGACAGATTCAGTGAGACTGTTAATGAAATTTTGAGTTACTAGGCCACTCTTGTTCTTGCTTGCTACAACCATTTTTTCCTATTTGCTTGAATCATGTGTAAAGAAATGCAGAAATAGTCACCAAGTGGGCACTACAATGCTGTGGAATTGTGGTTGCTGTAGCATTCATATGCTTACAGAAGAAGAAAGCTTTAATGAGTCATAAGTTTCCAAAGTGGTTGTCAAATTCCATTGGATAGCCTGGGCAAATAAACCGAACCGAATGTACCGAATCGAAACCGAAGCAAAAAAAATCAACCGAACCGAAAATTTGAAAATAACCGAATGGATACTAAATTCTATAACCGAAAAAATCGTGACCGAATTGGTACCGAACCGAAATATTTTGGGTAACTGAAAATACCCGAAATATAATTATATTTTCAAAAATATTAGTTATTTATTTATTTATAGACCAAATAATCAAAAATACTGGAAAATATATAAAAATAGTAAAAATATTCGAAAAATATCCAAAAATATCCGAAAATACCTAAAATAACCGAAATATCCAAAGCAAAATAACCAAATGGATACTAAATTTTAAAACTGAAAGAACCGGAACTGAATCGAAACCGAACCGAAATTTCAAAATACCCGAATGGATACTAAATTTTAAAATCCGAAAGAACCGAAACCGAATAGAACTGAACCGATAACCGATTAGATAACCGAACGCCCAGGACTACCATTGGAGAGGGAAGATCGCAACATTCGATAAGTTCTTGTAACAATGTCTCCCCTATCTCTCTTTCTCTAACCAGCCTCTGTTTTTTAACCTCCTCTCATTCCATCAATCTATCACAAAACCCTAAATATCACATTATCTTACATATGCTTATGATCTAAAAACAAATACGTTTGCTGTTTTTTTTTTTTCGCGAAAACAATACTAATTAAACAGCTCTTTGGAAAGGCTTCAACTAATTGGTAGAACTGAAGCAGTTTTATACTGAGTGTAGACAGTAGACCAACGACAATCCCAAATCACAGCGAGCGAGGAAACTATCGTCTCGGAGGACGTGGACCTCCACCATCCTGACAACCACCGCCGCGACCACCACCACCGCGTAGACTACATGATGCTGATACTGGTATAAGCTTCCTTCTCTCTCCTTTTTAATTTATAACAAAAAGAAAACACATAATTTATTAAATGCTAACTAAAATTAGTGTAGTAATTTAATGAAAATACTCAAAATAGTGTAGGATCCTTTTTTACTGTTGATCCAAACTGAACCAAAATCGAAATTGTATCAACAATTGAACTGATTTTGTTTCATTTTTTTCAATTGATATCTAAACCGATAAGGAAATCAATAAATTGAAATTTTAACTTCTTTGAAACTTATAAATTAAAAATATAATAATTGAAACGAAAAAAAAAAACCATATCAAATGAAGTCGATTGATAATCAGTTTCTCTGTTGGATTAGACATCCTAAGAAAATCTATTTGTGTTTTAGCCTTTATGACCAAATTAACTCATATATTGATTTCAAATAATCAATACATACATTAATGAGAAAGAAAAATTGAAAGCAAAAAGACAAATATTGATAGAGACCGTCGATACGCCATGGATGTAACTCTTGTCGAGAAGACAACACACAGTTTATGCGCCAAGGGGCCAAGAGAGCCAGTAAAAGCAAGAAGACAATCCCCAAACTTGAAGGACCCTTTTTTGCCATCTTTTTTTTTTTTTTTCTCTCTTTGTTAGTTTGCTAAACCGCTAAATCTTTATATTCAACGAATGAACTAAAAAATCAAACATAAATAAAAAACAAAAGTTTTTCTTGGCCACTCATGTAGACTAGTCAATAAACGCGGCCTCGCAACAAAACTTCGGAGAAATTTTATAATTTTTTTCGACATCACATGACTTTTCCGTTGAATTTGTTTAAGTTGGCAATTCCACCATAAACATGACTTGTTCTTTGTCTTCCTCTCAACTACAACACTTCTTCTTGCTCGTTTTATTTCCCAACTTAACACAACAACAATTCTCCATCGACATGGACAGTCCTGTATGGGAATTTCCCTCAAACGCATTATGTTTGTCTCTTCAATCCATTGTCTCACTTCCAACACTTATTGCTTCTACAATCTCTCTGTTGGAAAAGACTCGGATCAAGAACGAGTCGAGGCTATCGGATTCTGCAATAGAGTACTCTTTCGAGAAGATTGTCTCAAATGTATCGTCCAAGCCACAAAGAATCTAACCACATCCTACTGTCCAGAACATAGAGAAGCTTACATAAGGTCCAATAACTTTATGTTTCGTTATTCAAACAAACCCATTTTCACAAACTCAAAACGTTTCCGGTTTTGGAAGCGTTAAACCCCAACCAACGCCACAGGAGATAGAAACGAGTTTATTCGCTTGCAGAGCAAGTTACTTGATCGTTTAAGAAAAGTTGCTGCATCAGGTGGCTCTAAGAGAAAGTATGCTCAAGGAGATGGTCCTGGCCCTTCGCCTTACACAAATGTAAGATTTAAGAAACATACTGAGAAAGACTGCAACAAGTGTCTCCTTTATGCCACAAAAGGCAGAGTTTGGATCGGATGGTTTAGTCCCAGCTGTAAGTTTCAGATAGAGAGTAACTTGAGATTCTTCCGTCTCGAGGCCGAGCATGAGCCTGATTCGTAAACAGAACTATAGGTCCATAACCACTAGGTAAAACAGAGTAATCCGTTTCAAAAAGAAACAAAAACAGAGCACTCTGCATTAGCTACTTGTATTTAGATATTTATGTAAACTAAAATTAGTGTAACCTAGAATTTATACCTCAATTAATATGTTTTACTTTTGAAAATACTTTGTATTCCCCAACAGAACTAGGCAAACAGATTACTACAATGTTTTACCATAAACAAAAATATAAACTCTGCATTACTTTTGGCTCTGTTGTTGGTTTTGCGATAGTCTGTCTTTACTTCTTATTGACAAGGTATAGAAGAAATAAAAAACAGAGACTGGAAGGTGGAAATTTTAGTTTAAACTTAAATCTTTAGGTTGAAACTATGTTCTCAAGAGTTTTAACTTGGAACATCTTTTTGGGTTTATTGCTTTTGGTTCAGGCAAAGATGTCGAAAAAAAATAATTTTAAAAATGCACAACTAATGAAACTTGACTTTGATACTATAAGAGTAGCAACTAATGACTTCTCTTCTAATAATCAGCTTGGAGAAGGTGGCTTTGGTACTGTTTATAAGGTGATTAGATTGATTGTTTCTTAATGTTCTTTATTACATTTTTTGATGATTTAGTATCTCTTAAATGTGTTTTAATTATCACTAGGGTGTCTTGATAATGGGGAAGAGATAGCTGTGAAAAGATTGTCAATGAACAAGGCGATGATGAGTTCATAAACGAAGTCTCATTGGTTGCGAAACTTCAACATCGTAATCTTGTTAGGCTTTTAGGTTTCTGCTTAGATGGAGAAGAAAGTCTTATCATTTATGAGTTCTTCAAGAACACAAGCCTAGAGCATTTCATATTTGGTATTTTAATACCCTAAACCCTAACACAAGCATCTCTATCTGATGAATGATCAAAATTAATCATTTTCTTTCTCAGATTCTAATAGGAGAACAATCTTAGAGTGGGAAACACGTTATAGGATCATTTCGGGTATTGCTCGAGGTCTTCTTTATCTCCATGAAGATTCTCGTTTCAAAATTATTCATAGAGATCTTAAAGCCAACAATGTTCTATATATTGGACGACGCAATGAATCCGAAAATCGCGGATTTCGGAATGGCAAAGTGGTTTGATACTGACAAACAACTCAGACAGGGTTTACAAGCAAAATTGCAGGAACCTAGTAAGCTGCAAAAAAAAAAGTACCCTTTAGTTTTATCAATTTTGTAAGAAAAAAAAACATATCAAATTTTATTGTGGTTGCAACTGCAACATGGCTCCAGAGTATGCAATGAATGGGCAATTTTCGGTGAAAACCGATGTATTTAGCTTCTGCGTACTAGTCCTTGAGATCATTACAGGCAAGAGAAACAACTGGTCTCCAGAAGAAGAAAGCTCATTATTCCTCATTAGCTATGTAAGTGTTTTATTTTCTGACTCTATATATGAGATTGGGATTTTAGTTTTGGACTCTTTACTAAAATTTCAACTCTTATTTTTTGTTACATATATAGGTAGAGGTAGTATAGCTCTATGTAAGTGTTTTGTTTTCATTTTTGTTACTAAAAGCTCATTTTTTTGTCTTTCACTTGACCTAAACCTTCGCAACCCGGTTTTTACTCTTATATTGCTCTAAAGTTGTGTGACTATGCTATGCTTTTGTTGTAAAAGATTCGCTAAGCATGTGATCTTGATTGGTGTTGATTTATTGAGTAACCAAGGGCTGCATTTGTAATGAAAAACAGGTTTTGAATATCATGAAAATTAGGAAGGACTGCTTCTCAATTTTGATTAATTAATCTTCAATGTTTAAAAATTTTTCTGTTAGCTAAAGATTAATATTGTGAAAGATGAGGCTGATCCTCTTGTAATGGATTTGAGTTCTCATCTTCCATTCATCAAGAGATATAAACATTTTTGTTTCAGTTATCATCAGCTACTACTCATTATTATTGTTGCTTGCTGGTTTAGGCTTTGAGTGGATTGGTTTCCCATAATCTCCATCATAATCTACTAATAATAACAATCTTAATAAATGTCTTTGAAGGTTGCGATTTTTTCTTATAATATTTTTTCGAAGCCGGGCATTATATATAGAGGATAACTGATTTTTTTTGTTTGTTTGAGTGTAGAGTTTATTAAACCCTATGTAGTACCGAAAACTTCATCAGAGATCCACTTCCCGGCCCACTGCGAAATCGGAAGTTCACGGAGGCTTTCGGAATCTCTCCTCTGTGACGCTTTCGAAAATTCCGTTTTGGAATCTCGTTGGAATAAATAAAAAACGTGAAATATAGTTTTTTATACGAAAAAATCTCAAAAACTAATTTTGTGATTTATAAATTTTGCATACTAATCTTTCAAATTTTTATTAAATTCATGTTTAGAAAAATAACAATGGCATGGATACTATTTGAAATATTGGAAGTGATTAACTAAATTAAATTCTAGAGACTTGAGTTTGATGATTTAATCAAACAAATCAATGAAACATATCTCATAAACCTCTATCTTCTGTTGTATACTTTCACGTTTAGTGAAATAGGAAAAGTCGAAAAGATATGGGAATATTACCAACTTTTGGAGAAACTTTGTTTAATTTTGTTGAAAATGTCTTTGTAATTTACTTTAGTTTTAAATGTAAGTAACTTAAGCAAGTTGAATGTTAATTAATTTTGTTCCGAATAAACATCCCCAACGGCCCAACCACAACAAATACTTTGAGCTTTTATGTTTCATCATCTTATCGTCACTCAAACGTAATTAGAAGACAAATTAATGCTGAAATTGTACAAGATGATTCGTAAAAATATATGTTTGGATTCGTCAACGTTAATTAGTTCAAGTCGCAATTTAACCAGAGAAAAGTTTCTTCCACTTGAAAATGCATTGACCTACTAGTCAACGTCCTTCCACTAAATAAGTCCAATGCATTCATTTCTTATGAATCCTCTCATTTATTTGATTTCTCACTTCTGTTCCATTTTTAATTTATTTTATTATCGGCTATAATTCAAACATTTACGGCCGTACCTTACTTTTTCACGCATGTAAATGAATGTAACATTGTGTGCTAAAAGGAAGAAATGTTAGTTCGATAATCATTCTTCTTTGTTATCAAATATTTTAAAGAAAAAGGTGACTAAAATCTCACATTTTCGGCAGTTTTACACCATCTCTCTCATATCTCCTCCTCCTATAAATAGCCAAACTCTAAACTTTCAAAGAACACCAACACAATCACTTATCAAATAGCTAACAATTCACAAGAAGAAGCAATGGCACACTCTCGTTTTTTTAACGTTTTGTTAGTCCTAATGACCATTGCTTCCATATTCTCCACATTTGCTGAGGCCAATAGGGGCTTTGGGTGGGGTTGGGGTGGGCACTCCAACAATTCAAGTGGTTCAGGCTCAAACTCGAGGTCCGGATGGGGTTGGGGTTGGGGTCAAGGCTCCAACTATTCAAGTGGTTCAGGTTCAACCCCAGGGTCAGGATGGGGTTGGGGCTCTAGCCGAAACGGCTCAGGCTGGGGTTGGGGTTGGGGCGGGGTTCCCAACAATACACACAACTCGGGATCTGGCGGCTCGGGTTGGGGCATGGGTCCTAACAACAATTACAGCTCGGGATCTGGAGGGTCGGGTTCGGGCTGGGGATATGGAGGTCATTCAAAAAACTATAATGCTACCTACAATGGACCTAGAAAGATCATAGTGGGTGGAGACAAAGGGTGGAATTATGGTGTCAATTACGCCGATTGGGCTTCTAAGACTGCTCCATTCTTTCTCAATGACATACTTGGTGAGTCATTTTTTTTTTCCGACATTATCTCGCATATTTTAGGAAATGCATATACTTTTGATGGCATCAAATAAGGTAGACTAATCTATCGCGGGCTAGACCGCTTTATCTTTGGTGCGGATAATCCATTCGCAGAAATTTTGTTTCGTAAGGATAACCAATAAAAAAAAATACATCCACACATAAATATGTCTAGTTTGCAGTAAAGTAGTCTGCATTACACGTTTCTACATTTAAAGCTTTTCTCAATGTAGTAATTTTGACAAAAATATTAATGATATATGATCATCCGAGTGCAGTTTTCAAATATAACCCACCAGCCCCGTTCACGCACAGCGTCTACTTGCTTCCGAACCCATCGAGCTATGAAAAGTGTGACGTGAAGAAAGGCAAAATGATTGCATCCCCGAAGCAAGGTGCGGGAAAAGGCTTTGAGTTTGTTCTAAAACAGATGAGACCTTACTACATTTCGTGCGGCGAGCATGATGGTGCTCACTGCAACAACGGTACCATGAAGTTCACCGTCATGCCCATGCTACCCCGTTGGTAATGTGGTATTAAATTCAATTTCAACGTTAAAGTATCCATTGGATTTTCATTTCGTTATTGTGTCGTCAATAAATGAGACTACCATTATTTATGTGTCGTATCATATTCACATTTTGTTGGGATTGTTTGTGGTTTTGCTTTATGTCTTTATTATGAGATCACCATTGTTTGTATATTACCATATTTTAATGGTAAAAAAGTAGCAAGGTTTGGTATTTTTATGACAAAAAATGACAAATTTTAATATTTGTTTGCCGTTGGTATCCGACTATACATCCGTTAACAATGTTACAATGATGTTACAAACATCAAAACCTCATCAATAAGCGCTGAGAAAATGTGACTGTTGTATATAATATACATCTCATAGACCATATATCATACATTTCACTAATAAGTCGAGAAAGACTCTTGCTTGAATATTAGACCAAAGAGAGAACCCTCTACGTATCTTGGAAATAAAATTAGGCTAAACTTGGAAATAAGTTTGAATTCTTCCAAGAGCCATAATGTAGCAAAAATACCTAAAAGGACCAAGAGGCACATAATTCAGTAGAGAATTGATATGATCCATAAATTGTGTCGACTCCCAAATAGTAGCCTTACACTATGTCAATTTGACAACAAGTTGTGGATCTATATCCATATTTTTTTTAGAGAAGATGCACAAAATAGTCAAATTTTTGTGGATAATTAACAAAATAGCACTATGCTACAATAACTTGTTGGAGAACACATGTAATTACGTAAGTATCTTTCGTAACATATTTTTCTCTCGAATTACATGTGATAGCGTAAATATTTTTCTTTATCATGTTATTTATAAAGAGCATAATGGTATCTCTTGGAAAAAATATTCTATTTAGTTTAATATCTCTCTTTATCATGTTATTTTGTAGCAATACGTGTTTGATTAAGATCACATGTGATTTCTACATACATTGTGTTTTCTTAAAAAATCACTACTTTTTCTCAAATATCATGTCTTTCAGTTCAATACAACATATGAAATTTAAATGGTACATGCTATTTTCTAAAATCTCACGAAATTGTCTCGCCTACTATTAAACTCGCAACAAACGAAGGATGAGTTTATTATTTCATTTTTTCTAAAAACGTTGGTCCATGAATATTTTACAACAAAATCTTTTTTCTCTGCTATTTCCTTAAATTTTGAATATAATTTGGTTATTCCTTAATATTATCCTATTTTTTATGTACCTTATTATTAGTGGTTTTCCAAATATCTCTTATGACAAGATTCATGCAGTTCAAGAATAAAAAATCCAAAAAAAACCATCAATTTGTAGTTAAATAATCCTCAACTTTGGGACTAATTTAATTTGGTTGACATGGGCAAATTAGTCTAAAAATTGGTCAAACATAACAGTGAACCCAAACCAAAAAAAATAGAACCAAGTTTAAACCAAAAAAAAAAATGAGACAATGGTTTCATATTTTTATGAAACCAAAAACCGAACATGCTTGTGTTGTGTCACTGACCTAGTCTTCCGATCTTCGACGCCGCCGCCTTAAGCTTTGGCCGGAGATGGAATCTGTAGAAGCCGTAGAGAAGATCTTAAACTACACTTTCACTGACAAGAATCTTCTCAAAGAAGCTATAACAAAAACCTCTGGTAGTAATACTGAATCATCGTCTTTATTATTCGAACGACTTGAGTTCCTCGGCGATTCAGTTCTTCTAGTCGTCTTCTCCAATCACATCGAAATCACTTACCCTAATCTCCATCCCAACGATTTAAACGATGTACGAATTGCAAACGTAAGTAACGAGACTTTCGCTCGTGTCGCCGTCAACAACAACCTCCACCAATTCATTATATTCGAGGCTCCAAATCCTCTTCTACATAAAATGGTAAGTAAACAAAACTCTGTTTTTTTGTTTTAGAGTCACATGTTCTTACCAACAAGTTGTGTCATGTCTTAAAGATTAAAGATTTCTCAGAGGCGGTGAAGGAAGAAGTTTATCCAGCTCCGTTTGGTGGATTGGTGAAAGCTCCAAAATTTCTTGCTAATCTTGTGGAAGCAATAGCTGGAGCTGTTTATATTGATGTGGATTTTGATGTGCAAAGAGTTTGGGAGGTAATGTATTTTGTCTACTTGGATTTGGTTCTTTGTCTTTCTTCTATGTTTTATACGATTCTTGGATAAATTTGCAGATCTTTAGGGTTCTTGTGGAGCCAATATGTACATTGGATGATTTACGGAAGCAACCTGAACGAACATATCTTAGGCTTTTAGGTTTGGGTGATAAACTCGGAAAGCGAATCGAAGTCTTGTATACCAAAGCCAAAGAAGGAACCAATATACATGTTTTTAAGGTCTATCTTGGTGATCTACTTATAGCTTGTGGGAGTTCTTACAATATAGATGTTGCAAAGCTGAACGCTGCTAATAAAGCGTTACATGAGCTGTCGAAAATTACGCCCATTGAAAAGATTGTTGATGAGGATAGTCTACGTGTTGAACCTGAAGATGTGAAAAGGGAGTCGCTTGAGATTTGTTCTGCTGAAAAACTCCGATTACCGACTGTATCATCTTCTTTACCCACCGCCTCCAAGAACCCTTTAACCAATGAAATGACACAAGAACAAATGGTTATTGATGAGGATAGTCCACATGTTGAACTTGAAGATGTGAAACGGAAGTTGTTTGAGATTTGCTCCCCTGAAAAGCTCCGATTACAGACTGAATCATCTTCTTTGCCCACTGCCTCTGAGAACCCTTTAGAACAAACGGTTATTGATGAGGATAGTCCACATGTTGAACCTGAAGATGCGAAAGGGAAATTGACTGAGATTTACTCTACCAGAAAGCTCCAAATACAGACTGGATCATCTTCTTTGCCCACTGCCTCTCCGAACCCTTTAACCTATGAAATGACAATAAAACAAATGGTTGTTGAGGATGGTCAAGAAGAAGAAGCTAAAGATATGACACTGGAGTTGTTTCAGATTTGCGAAAACAATAAGTGGCCGAACCCGATTTTCAGGTATATCTTTTACCTGAATTTTTCTTTTCTAAGTACTACTTACAGCTTGACAAGGACCACGATCTAAAGTCAAATTAATCTCTTTGAGTAGTTTAGAGTCTTATATTCTCAAAGAAGGAGAACATGTTTGGTAATCCATGGTTAAAACTCTTACAATTTAAGGTAGAGAAGGCACATTTGTGCTCTTAAAAAATATACTCGTAAGATCAATGTGACTTGGCTGTTTTCTACTTTGGATACCCTCAATAAGCACGAATATGATTCATTTTTGTTACTGTGTTTGACCTTTTTCAGTTTTGAGGAAGAAAGAGGGCCAAAAAATGAGCAGAAATTTGTTTGTTCAGTTAATATTGAGATCCCATCTGTAGAAAGTAGCTTTCACATGAAGGGAGATGCAAAATCAACGAAAACGCAAGCACAAAACTCCTCCGCCTACTATATGATCGGAGCCTTGAAATCTTCACTAATGAGTCATGTCAAAAGTAAGCTGCCAATAGAGAAAAGTTTAGATGAGAAAATCTCCTCTAATGAGTCTTGCCTGCCACATGAAAGGAGCCTTGAAATCCTCACTAATGAGTCATGTCAAAAGGGAGATGCAAAATCAACGAAAACGCAAGCACAAAACTCCTCCGCCTACTATATGATAGGAGCCTTGAAATCTTCACTAATGAGTCATGTCAAAAGTAAGCTGCCAATAGAGAAAAGTTTAGATGAGAAAATCTCCTCTAATGAGTCTTGCCTGCCACATGAAAGGAGCCTTGAAATCCTCAGCTCAGAGATTGAGTCTGATTCAGTGAAAGCTGTGGAGAAGATCCTGAATTACAGTTTCACTAACAAGAATCTTCTGAGAGAAGCGCTAACACACAACTCTTCTAATTTACTGCCAGTTCAGCGGCTTGTGTTCATCGGCAAGGCGGCTATTTCTCTCGCCTTCGCGAATCACATGTACCTCACGTACCCTAAGCTCGGACCAAAGGAGTTGACTATGTTGCAAAATGCAAATACATGTAACGACAGATATGCTCGTGTTGCTGTCAAGCGCGGCATCTACCAATTCCTTAAATGCAATGTTCCTAAGTTAGAAAGACAGGTAGTCATTCTGTTTCTTGTGAATTTTTGCTCAATTGTGAACATCTCTTATGATATACTCTCCACCTTTGGTGTCATCTCTCAGATTATCGAGTTCATAAAGATGATGGGCAAAGAAGATGACCCAGATCCATTCAGATCTGTGAAAGCCCCAAAAATACTCACTGACCTTGTAGAATCTGTAGCTGGAGCTGTGTATATTGATGTGAATCGTGATGTTAAAAGACTCTGGGAGGTCTGTTGTGTTCTCACTTGATTCGAGTTTCTATTTCTATGTTATATGATTCTCAAGTTAAAAAAGAAATGAAATTTGCAGATCTTGAGGGGTCTTTTCGAGCCAATATATACACTGGATGATATACGGCGGAAACCTCATCCACTTCTTACCCTTTTTTGTTTGGGATATAAACACGGCAAGCGAATCGAGTTCAGGTATCGTGAGTGTGAGAAGAGTTCAGGTATGAACGAAGCCACTATTACTGAGGTATATGTCGATGATAAATTTATAGCTTGTGGGAAGAGTTGTAATAGAGCTGCCTCAAAGATGAGAGCTGCTACGATGGCGTTAGAGAAGTTGTCAGAAAGTATGCCCATTGAATTGGTTATGGATGACAGCATTGAATATGAAAATTCAAAAAAGACGTTGATTGAGATTTGCAACGAGAGAAAGTGGCCGAACCCGATTTTCAGGTATATCTTAGTCCTACACACTTGAGAGATGTCATCTTATTTCTTGTTTTGCTTTGCTTTTAGCCACAAGTTTGATAAATGTGACTTTGGATGTTTTTACGATAAGAACAAGTGCGATGTATTAACTTTTGTTACTGTGTTCAACTCTTTACAGTGTTGAGAGGTCTTGTAAAGGATTTGTTTCTTCAGTTACGATTGAGACTCCAACTGAAGAAGGTACCTTATACATCGAGGGTGATTTGGAAAAAGGGAAAAAGAAAGCAGAATACAACGCAGCCTCTCACGTGGTAAGAACTCTGAAAGCTTCTCCGTTGGGTCTTGTCGTAAGGAATCTGAAGAGGAAGCAGATAAGTTTAGATGAGGAAGAGATTGTTGTCAAAGAAAATAAAGATGAGCAAGAGATTTTGCATCGAAACAAGAGGAAGAGGAGGAGGCGATGATAGATTTATTTAAGTTTTTTGGTATTTCTCTTTTGTGCAGTTTACAAAAGTAATTTCTGAAGCTTATTTGGATTTGCCTTTAGCCATTTTTATTTACCGCTTCAATTTGTTAGTGCTAATTTATGTAGATTAATCAGAGTTATACTCTTTATATCCGTTTTCTGTTAGATCACAAAAGTAAATTTTGAGGATTTGGCAAATGGTTGAGTTAATTAATCTGTTTTATATCCATGTGTTGCAGTAGTCGATGAAAAACAAGATTCTACAGTCGATTTCGTTTCGACATTGTTAGTTTCAATCATCGGAATCGTAAGCTCGAAGGCAGAGGTTGTGGTCGGAAAACTTTCGGTAGCTCAATCAATACGTGTTCTTGTTGTTGACGTGTGTGTTGGGAGAATTATGTTATTATCACTATTTCAATCTTTACCGACGTATGATGGGCTTTATCTTCGGCCTGATATAGTTGTAGGGTTTTCTGTTGGCCCATGTAAGAATTACTTTGTTATCAATAAAGTTCCTTGAGAGAAAAAAAAAAACACCCACAGAAAGCACTGATTTTATAATATTATTTTGGGAAAATACCGGAATTAACGTCAAAGTTAAAACATTCCTCAACTAAAATTTTCAACTTTTTTTGTTTCTATATAAAACTTCCAAATTAATTTTTTTCCCAATTGAAACCTCCAACTTTTCGTTCCTAAATAAAACCTTTAACTACTTAATTTTTCCTAAAAAATCTTCAAATCGTCAAATTTGAACTCGATCAATGGTTGACTAATTAGAAACGACCTTTAACGATATGTTTTTCCGTTTATTTAGTTTTTGCAATTCACACGTGTTAGTTACAAGAAAGATAAAAATCTTAATTACGAATCCTAGAATACATTTTTTTTTTCTAAATTTTAGGCTTCATATAAATTTTGGACTAAATAAGCGAAAAAATATCGTCAACGGCCGGTTACTATTCCGAACGGAAGTATTGTTAATCATTAGTCAACTATTATTCGAGATCAAATTTGACAACTTGAGAGTTTATTTAGACAAAATTAATTAGTTGGAGGTTTTATATGGAAAAAAAAATTGAAGGTTTTTGTTAAAAAAAAGTTTCAAATTGAATGTTTTATAAAGAAACAAAAAAAGCTGCTGGTTTTAGTTGGACAAATATTTCAACTTGGAGGATTTTTCTGTGATTTTCTCTATTATTTTCAAGGATCAATAAGTTATGCAGCAAAGTTATTATTCTTATGAAAATCATGGAATAAGTTGAGAAAAATGAAACCAAGGCGAACCAAATTGCACAAGGTTTTTATATTCCCTTTAATTTTTATAAAACAAAATAAAAACCGTAAACCAAGAAAACAAAAACGAACTATATATGGTTTTTTATATGAAACTAATTAACCATAAACCGAACTAAAACCAAACCGTAAAACCGAACACCAACAACTAGGTTCAATCCTCTTTTAACCTCCCATGGATAAACATAAGCAAATAGACTATATATATATATATAGTAATTAACAATCTTCAATTATTTTAGTTTTTGTTTATTTATTTCAGTTTTTGTACTTTGGTAAAATTACTGAAATTCCTAGAAATCACTAGTAAATCTTGTTAAAATAATTCCCTCAAATTTGCTAAAATCATGTGAATATTTTAAATCCCCTTAAAACGTCCTAAAATTTCAATGTATCGAAATAAATTCAAATCCTCAGTACAATATGCCCCCCTAAATTTCTTATCGGGTCGGGTACTAAATTTTTCGGATAACAATTTAATCCACCCGCTAAAAATGTACTTCAAAAATACTAGTATAGATTTTGAAGAAGTGATAAAAAATTCTTTCTGATAAATAATTTAATTATGATATATATCAAACTATATATCTTACTTTTTTGACTTTCTATTCTTATGTACAAGTTACAACACAGAACAATATTTAGTTGTACATGCATAAAGCACAAAACAGCAAAACAATGTTGGTATATACGTTAAGTTAACTCTTGCACTGACATAAGTTTTGAGTTTTACAAAATTTATCATGAGATGTTTAAGGATTTCCTCCTGTTTTTGTTAAAGTGAATTTCCCTTTTGTTGGTAGACAAAAGAAAACATTAATTAGAAACAAAATCAATTAATAATTTTACTCGTAGATGTGATAAATACAAGAAATATAAAATAGAAAACTGTTGTAAATTAAATATTCTGTTCCAAAATTAATTGGGAATATGCGTCTTATGTTGTTTATCTATAAGTACGTTTCCCACAACCTAAACAAATTATCGTAGTTCACAAAGCAAAGCAAGAGTCGCAGCAGATACTAAACAAAGCACGTAAGAAGCAGAAGAAAACCATGGCTCTCTCTGGTTCACAAAAAAAGCTGCTCATATTCGTCGTGGCCATTGCATGTCTCTCCTCATCTGGCGCAGAGGCGTGGAGCTGGAGTAGGAGCAACGGGTCGGGTTGGGGTTGGGGATCCGACGGGTCAAGTAGCTCTAGTTCAGGTCCTGGTTCAGACTCTGACGGTTCAAGTTGGAGTTGGGGCTCGTTCCCTGGTTGGGGATGGAGTTGGGTATCCGATGACAACTCCGGCTCGGGTTCAGGTTCGGGTTCAAACTCTAATGGCTCTGGTTGGGGTTGGGGTTGGGGCTCGGGATCCGACCGTGGTCCTGGCTCGGGTTCTGGTTCTAGTACCAACCCTGATGGTTGAAGTTGGAGTTGGAACTGGAGTCCTAAGTCAGGGTGGAGTTGGAGTTGGGGCTCAAACGATAACGACTCAAACAGTTCCGGTTCCGATTCGGACGGTGAAATATTAGAATGTCCCACATTGCTTAGGAAAAAAAAATTTTTGGGTAGTATATAAAGGATGTGGCAACCCTTAACTCTTGAACTAGCTTTTGAGTTAAGTTAGGTCATATTCCTAATATGGTATCAGAGCCCAAGGTTGGCCCAACAAGCAAATTTCCCATAAAAACTGGTTTTCCACCTATGTGGCCCATATAAGTGGCATGTTTTGTTGTATTTCCGAGATGTTGGACTTGAGCTGTTTCTCGTTGGACCGTTTCCCACCCACATCTCGAAGAGGCATATTAGAATGTCCCACGTTGCTTAGGACAAAGATCTTTGGGTAATATATAAAGGATGTGGCAACCCTTAACTCTTGAGCTAGCTTTTGGGTTAAGTTAGGCCACATTCTTAATATGAAACACCAAAAAAGATCATAGTGGGAGGATCATACTGATGGAAAAAAGGGTTAGATTACAAAGAGTACTAGGCTTCTAAGAATGCTCCTTTCTACGTCAATGATGTTCTTGGTAAGTTAGTTTATTTTTCCTACTTTATTTTCTAATGTTAAATAACCTAATTGGTTATACACAATGAGTAACACTTTTTTTACAATTGTGTAGTTTTCAAGTACGACAAATCTGCTAAGCGAAGGAATAATGTATATTTGTTCCAAGACCCATGGAGTTACATGAACTGCGACATTACGAATGCGAAAAAGATTGGTTCAACGAAGAAAGGATCAGAAGAAAGTTTCCACTTCACACTTAAGAAAATACAGCCTTACTTCTTTGCCTCGGGCAAGCATGATGGTGATTATTGCAGTAACCATAACATGAAGTTCACTGTCTTCCCAGTTCCTCACCGTTCTAATTAGATCCTTTAATTATTTTAGGGTTTTAATTAGTTTTTCTTTTTGCTTTTAGGGTTTTTGTCTGTTTTGTTTTGGGTTTGAGATTGATCGAGATTTTATTTTTACCTTATAGAGTTAAATTTCCAATATGTGAAAGACGTTAACTATTATGATAAATCACATGTAATGAAACAAATTATCTCAACCAAAGTGACTAGCTGTGACTATATTGATAGATCACGTTGTTCAAACATAGTTCTTATTCTAAGTACGTATATATAGATCAAGTTCGATAATATGTTGTTACGTATATATTTTGTGTTAGGTTACAATCAAACACATTAGGCCTAGGCATTCATGTATTCGGTTCGGTTTTAATTGTAACGCCCATGTTTCAAAAAAATGAAAGAATTGAGTTTATGTCGAGAATTAGAGTGGTGTGGTTTAAATTCCAATTTTTGGTTTAAGAAGAATGAATTTTTGGATAAATATTAAACCATGAGAGGGTTTACTTAATTTCTAATTTAATTCTAATTTTCTGGTTTGATTTATATAAACCGGAAATAAACCTTAAACCTATTTAAATGCAAAATTGCAAGAAACCCTAGCAATTTCTCTCTAATTTTTGTGGCCACCCAGCTGGAGAGGAGAAGCTGGGCGTTTTTCTATGCTTGTGAGGGAGGAGGAGGCTGAAGCTTTGGTGAAAGGAGAAAGAGACAGAACAGTCAGAGTTTAGGAGAGCAGAGGTTTGACCTAGAAAATCGTTGGCAAAGGTAACAAATTTTTTTGGAATTGTAGCTAAGACCTATATCTAGATATGACCTATTGCTGATATTGATTTGAGTCAATATTCTTAAAGTTATCTCTGTTTTTGTGAGCTCTTCTGTTTCAAACGCGTTTAGGATCAGCGTGTATTTAAAAGAAGATCGAGAGCGAACCTTCTATCGGATCGTCACGAAATATTGTGGTTAGTTTCAGGACATCTAGGGAAAGATTTTCAATGGTGGGATTTGAATGTGAACGGTTGGATTTCGTTTTGTGATCCCATCTTTCAAAATGAGCTTTCAGTGATTTTTCGAAAATTTTACAGTTTATGTTAAATGTTGTTTTTGGTTGTTGTGGTTGGCTATAGAGTGAGTTGAGCTACTGTTGACGAGTGGGAGGTCACTGCTGGTTGTAGGATTGTTATTTTTGGTTCAAAAATCATCCTTGTTTCAAGGTGGATGCGTGACCATGAGCTTATCTAAGGGATTAAGATTGTTTGATTTGTTTCTTGGGATGTGTAGGCTAGATTTTTGATTGATCTAGGATTAAATCTCTGAGATGGTTGTGTCAATGGGTGATTGTCATTGGTTTTGTTTGTTTCATGATTTATATGTTGATTGTGATCTTGGTATGCTTGTGTGTATAGCTCGTAGATGGGAGGATTGCCTCACTAAGTATTTATTGAATTATTTATGCATCTCTTTTCTTGCTGTAGGTAAAGTTAAAGTGTGACATAGAATCATGGCAAGGAAGAGAAGATGATCTAGGATCTCGTAGGTGTTCTTTTATTATTT